ATCCTATCCGCTCCCAACGCCCGCGTCGCGTGTAATCCCGTAATCCCGCCGTTCAGATCACTCCAACCAAGCGCGATACTCTATCGCTTGGCGGGAATGGTTATACGAGCCGAACCCCAATCAGATGACAACAACTACAACCAACCCGGGCGTGTGGGTTTGGGCATGAGTGCCAAAGGTGTGTGTGTGTGATTGGTTACGCGCCATGAGTACTAGAATCGACCGCAAAACACCGAACTACTTCGTATTTAGTAGAATAGGTTACCGTAATATTTAAAAGTGTATTTCAGGATGACACCCTCACAAAGGGGTAGTAGACATCAAAAGGGAAAATAAACCATCGACACATATTAAACTTCAAAGTTGATGCGAACAAACAAAAGCAAGCCTAACACGCGGTAGAAGAAGCCGCGACGGGCGATGAGGCGAGCAGCAGAAAGCGATGCTGCAACGGGTCGGTCTTCAAAATCCACACTCACTGCAAAATGACCAGCCCTTTAGAAGCAGCGTAGAAATACAACATACCAAGAACCCACCATACCCCTTCCCCCCCCCCGTAAACTGCGCAAGACCAGCCCCGTCATATAACCTGAACCACTACATCCGAGCGGAAGCAATACGACACCTGCTGCGTGGATACCTGCGGCACAGCACCAGCTAATGTGATCCTTCCTCTCCGACGACATCTCGACCATCCGCTGCACGTTCGCGGAATCCTCATTTTTTTCATATAAAAAGCAGCGGCTACTTGCGCTGAAAATCCTTCTATAAAAGTCACTACGCTTCGAGACTGGGTATCCCCCCCCGCCTCCCGATCGCCCTTACTAGACGGACACAACACAAAATCATCGCGATCGAACATGCCTTTGCTGACGTAGCAGGCGACACGCCATGCCCCCCCCCCCCTCTCACCGTCTCAGCTCGGCACAGGGATGCGCCGCTACACTCGCGAAGGGAATAACGGACATGGATGTGCAACGATATCAACAACGAATTTCTTCTTCCTCGAACGCATCTTTCACACACAACAGACCCCC